TTGCTTTAAAATAATAAATAAGCAATATCGTAGGCACTTAGTAAGCACTGTGTCACAATTTACAACACAAAATGAACGTATTTATACACTCTATAGCTCTAAGAACTTAAAAACACCTTTTTCACATTTAAAATTGATAAAATAATTAACTCAAATTTTCTCAGCTGTTATTTTTATAAGTTTACCATAGGCAACTAATAATACACACTATCATGACAAGGACTACAATGACGTCACAACTGTCAGCTGAAGTGCGGGAAGAGGCGAACGTACGTATTATGAGGATGAGCAATCCTATTAGTTTACCGTTCTTGTCACAGTGTTACCAACTCCGGGATTTTATCCTTAAATTTTAGGAGAAAAAATCTATATGGGGATTTTTTTAGGGAGTAAAATTTTTTGGGGATATTTTTAGAGATAAAATTTCAATGGAATTTTACATATACGTATTATTTACAAATATACTCAGGGTTCCCTATTTAACCCCGTGTGCAATTTCTGTGCCGTAAGAAAAAGACAACATAACCCAGCTCCATATTAAAACTGCATAAGTCTATTTCACCCGGATATGGATTGAACTGCGATTGCGCCCAACTCCGATTGATTGTTGTTTTAGTTCTGTTTGGATTACTTTTTATTTGTGCGCGTAAAGGAGTGATTTTGTTTAGTTTATTGTTTCCAACTATTTATTGATATTTTTCCAACTCCATGATAATGTGTTATAAATATGGAGTCTAAAAGGAGGAGGCGAATCGAACGCAAAAATGTTGGGCCCAGATTTCATGATCTAAATGAAGTTCAAAAATCGCCGTTAGGGGCGCATGTGATCAAAGAGATTGAAAAATACACAGCTTCTTATGGCAAGAATTTACTATTTTGTTATAAATTATAGAGTTCAGTTAATATTTGGGCATATTTTTACCAGATTTAGCTTTTAGAAACGTGTTTTTTTCTAACTGAACAATGTGCGTGGCTAAAATTGTGAATACAAAACCTTAAATTTGAGTTTGAAAAGTATGTTAGAAGTTAGGTTATATCAGATGCCGGTTTTAGATATTCTTTTTCTAAGTTGTTATTATAAAATTGTTTCATTATATGGTTATTTTTAGTGCACACACGGCCGAAGAAAAATATAAGCTGCTAAAATAAATCTTCCCGAGAACTGTTGTACAAAAAAGATAGAAGTTCCAGCAACAAATATCACCAGTTCAACCTTTGATTTGATGTAAACAGTAATTGTCTCCAGAGTTGTTTCTTGATGAGAAATGCGAATTAAATAGTTTATGGTGTGTTTGTGTTAGTGATTTATTAATAGTTTTTCATAAAAACATTTAAAATTGATATGTTTACATGCAGTTCAGTGTGATACCATTTTAAAAACATTAAAACCTTTCGTAACAAACTAGTAGTGGTTTTACGGCAATTGACAGAAACTGAATCGCGAAAATTAAAAGTATTTTATCAGGAATAACTTCAATGTAAAGTGAAGATGAACACTACTGTTGCGTCCTTTCTATCCCATAACTTTTTATAGCTGAAACCAGAGAATATGCACATTAAGCTGAAATGTTTCCTGTGTCCAATAGTGTTTTTTCTTTAGATTTTCTGAATTTAAGTTTTAATGTCATTAGCAAAGTTTTGCAAATTGTCACTGTTTCGTAGACAAGAAATTCAAGATGTATTATATTCAATGTCACCTAATAATTGTAAAGGTAAATTTTCGTAAATAAAATATTAATAAATAAATAGTGAACTCAATTTATCTCAAAAGAGTTAAGTTAAAATTAATCTGTGCACTGACAGTATATAATTTGAATGTTTTTCTTAACATCTATCCATATTTTTTTAATTAATTAGGTATACCACTTACATTAGGACCTTTGAAAAGGCTTGGGTTTCTTTCACCCCGTTCTTTATTTGTCTTTTTTCCACTGTAAGTTCCACTTATACAGCCAGGTACGAAGCAGACCTATCGTTTAGGATTTTTTTAATCATACTCATTGGTACATTGCTAATAGTTCAATAAATTAACTCTAAATTTAAAAAAAATAGCAAAACACAATTAAATCGTATACTAACAATGAAAATGATCAATCTCACACGCTTACAATGCCTCTGGTGTCAAACCGAGAAACTTGCTTTAAAGTAGGGACAGAAATTTCAAATATGCCCATTGTCGATAAATCTCCTTTTTAAAGCCCTCCATATTTATAAATAATAAAAACATAATTAAAATTGAAGGTTAGGTGAAATGTCAGTCAACGACTTCCCTATAAAAACATCGACCAATGAAAACTTCTCTCAGGTGAGGCATGTACAGTTAAATGAATATCCGGGTGAAATAGACTTATGCAGAATTCATATTGTTCTTTTCACTGTTTGGGCTTCACTTTTTGGAGATTAGGCTGAGTATATTTGTAAACAATACGTATATGGAATTTTACCGCTACCAAAGAGGAGATAAGACCGCTACTGCTATTTTTTCAAAATTAATAGGAAAGTATAAATAAAACAAAATAATTTATTTATTTTAATCACCGAATCTTGGATAACAGTTGTGGGGATTTTAGTTGTTTTGGATTTAAGAAGGTTTGATATTGCTTTAATGGAAAGTTTCGAACAGTTGGCTACATTGCTGTGATTAGACGCTTTCAAGGTCAACCACTTAAAAACACAACAAATTGTTTATTTATTATTATTTATATTTTTAGGTTTTTTTTCCAGATATTTTTTAGGATTCAGGGATATTTTGGGGATTTTGATGCGAGCGTTTTAGATTTTTAGGGAGATAAATTTCTGAGAGTTGGGAACACTGTTTTGTCATAACCTAATATTTTTGTATTTTATTTTTTTTGCCTTGAACTGAGCTGTCGTTGATATTTGATAATTCTAAAAAATTGCAAAACATTCAAATTTAAAATTAAAATATTCAAAGCAACCAGATGCGTATTAATCAAACATAAAAATAAATAAAAAAAGCCAGTTAAGTAAATAAAATGCATCGAAGTCACTCACCGATGTACCCTATCCGCAGGGGGTTGTTATTCTCAGCCACTTCCATTTCGACTTCGCTGGCACCCGAATGGGATATGGTCAAATGATTGGTCAATGATGTTGCTGATGAAGCCTCAAAATCGCATCTATTGCATTTGTGTCCGCCTGTAACGACATGCCAATACAACTGAAACCCACTTTAAAATTTCTTTTACCTCAATCTATTCTCATATTTAACCTTATTAAACAGATCTAAATTGTTTTATTGCACTCTATATATTTATGATGGCTATTAGTATAAGACACGATCCTTAAATGAAGTTTCCCAGGAACAGGAGATTATACAGGGTGTAATGTTTCCATCCCATTTTTTCTATAAATCATGGGTAATAGTCGCTCATATTTTAAAAAATAATTTTGACAATACCAGGTGCGTCTCAAAAGGTGGCTTCATCCCTTTATAACTTTTTATTTTTTTCATAAAAAAAACAAGATTTCGTATGATATGACATAAATTAGGATTGATTAAAGGTATTCAATTTTTTTTGGTCATCTGTTTCACCGGAAATGACTACAACTTTAGATTTTAAATAACACCTGCGGTATATTTTTACTTTATTCGGCAGAAAATGACACTCTGAATAGAATGATATATTATATGTCAACTTTTGACATTTGCGCTTAAAAATCGAATTTTAAATATCAATAAAGAATGCCGTGGTCGTGCTAAAGACGCCAATTCTTAATTAAGGAGCCTTTGAAAATAGTCGTCTTGCCCTGGCCGGTTAGAATATACACAAATCGTATTTTTAATCATATCTCAATTTTTTTCAAATGGAACGACAGTGCAAACCATATGTAAAATGTCAAAAGTTGACATATCATATGTCATTCTAGTCAAACTGTAATTTTCTATAGAATAAAGTAAAAATACCGAGAGTGCCATTTAAAAATCAAAAGTTATAGTAATTTCCGGTGAAACAGGAAGTGAGGGAAACAATTGAATCCGTCAATCAGTCCTAATTTATGTCATATACATACCAAATCTCGTTTATTTTATCCGAAAAAAATAAATAAAAGTTATAAGGGCGTGAGATACTTTTGAGACGCACCCGGTATACAAGGCTAGTTACTAAAAACTAAATGTTGATTTTTTCCAACCAAAACACCCTGTATTTTGCATCACAATCGAAAAACGATTTTTATTTACTATTTTTGTTTTAGGTACTTAACAGGCACTTTAAGCATTATGGTCACCCTATATAAGACTAAAAATCATCCATTTTAAAAAATAATGTTGAAGCTAATGTGTTGAAACTAAAAGGCAGATATGAAAAAACAATAGACATGATGGAGAGATAAATTGCAAATAAATGTGAGAACTTTAAATTGAAACAGGGCAGTAATAGATATTTTTAATTTTATGAAATTAAAATTGAAATGTCTGGTAATATAAATTTATGGCTCATATACAGCCAAAAACCATGGCCAAAAACCATCAATATATTTGAAACTTCCACAACACCTTGTATTTTTAAAATTAAATCTTTTTGGTCCCATATTGATATTAAATTTTATTCAGTAAAATAAGTACTATAGGTTGTTAAAATACAGGTACTAAAAATTGCATCACCATGTATATAATAGAAAATGTAAAGAAAATGTTAAACACACCTTCTGAAGAATCGTAGTTTGTATTTGAGCCAGTTACTCTGTCTTCGGGTTTGATCAGCATCCTCCTGTATTGGATGCTCTTGTGTTGTTACAGCTATACTACTACCTAAAATATATACAATGTATAATGTTTTTTTTTTATTTTATAACATAGACAATAAGTTATAAAAACTGCATACTACAGGTATATTAAAACCTCGATTAAAATATTCAGATTTTAAGGTTATGGTTAAGCGATGTTTATATTAATAAAGCGTCAAAAAACGTTGAAGTTAATGATTTTTTACATGCTTCTTATTAACTTTTAATATTCGTATGTAAGTTGCCAACTACAATATCCGTCATCTTATATGGAGAATGTCATCAATAGTCATTTCTACAACAACTTGACGCTGTTTTTTTTTGATCATACATTTATTATTTAATGCCATCTAATCAATGGAGATTACAACCCTCCAGAACACCTTCTAGAGGGAGAATTTTGTTTTAATTTAATTTATTCTCGAATTTATTAAATTGTTTAATATTAAAAAAAAACACTACAATACATACCAGAATCTGCCTCATTTTCAGTGGCAGTATTTGCCATGATCACCTGTCGTAGGACTTTAAGTGGGTTTCAATTAATTGTGCCATCAACAGCCTAAAAAATAATTTATATATAATTAAAGATTACAGAATACATCTTAAAAACATTTGACTTTACATTTCAAGATCTTCAATAATAAATTGATAATACACAAGTCAAAAGAAAACATTGTTTATAATTTTTCTTTCAGAAAAAAAAAAACCTGATAGAATACGAAGAATTTGTGCAATAGAAATTCTTAACTAACTGTAATTGCAAAATATTCAGTTCAACAACCAGAAGGGGGCTCCAACTTAGAAGTAACCTATTTTTCTCGGCGGGTCATATAAATCGCCACTAGCAAAGTCGGTCCGCAAATCTACGTTACGTCACTATAAACCATTTATTTATTAGAACAACACTTAAAAACGGCGTGATTTAAATTTGGGAAGATAACAAATTATTTTGGAAATGAAAAAATAAGGCCGAACACGTAAGCAGAGCGGGTCGAGAGTAACGTTATTTGGGATTTGGCCGCGAGTAGGATGTCGAAATGAGAACACTGCACTTTTATGCACTAGATATCAACAAATTACACTTCGCAGACCCACATAACCTGTACGGTTGTCCTGAATGTCTCAAATCGCTTAATGATGTCGTTGTATCGGTCGTACTTACTTGGGAACGGGACCGGATCGGATTGTGAAACTACAAACTGCGTTAAAAAAAAACACCTGTACACATTCTGCTGACCGCTTTTCGTGCCGTTCCAGGTTGACGCTGACCTGGCAGGGAAGTGGGATTGTGGCCCTGGCAGGACCGGAGTCGCTCAACGATTTCGGGAACGCCAATTCTAAAATATCTGTTTGGCATTCTCGATAATAGACGGATAATAGTCAAATATAAACGCTTAACGTTGGGGATTTATTCACTTGTGTATGTTTATACACTAGTAATATTGATTAAATACGGGACTTCTTTACATACTAATTTAGAAATTCTATGATAAATGGGTATTTCTCATGTAAAGGACTTAAAAGGATATTTTTAAAGAGATAAAATATTTTCAACAGGTAGATTTTTGCAGGTGTATTTTACAAACTGCAATCAGCTGATTGTAAAATACCAGGGACCGTCTATAAGTACCTAATTCTTGTATTCTGTAGTGGTGATCAGTGATCACTGGTGATGTTGTAGAAAGATGTCCGTGAGAAGAATGCAGAAAAAAAAGCGTTCGGTTACCTTAAAATATACCTTACCCCTACAATCAGTCGCCAAACAATTACTGAAACACATAAAGGAGGGCGTAATTACGTGGTTGTTGAGTGCAATAACATTCAATAACTCAACTTTCCCAGATATTCAACTCTCCCGAAATAACATGTTATAGCTTCACAGCTTCTCAACCAATTTGATCATGAGTAAAAATGGATTCAAGCAGCTCGACGAAACAAAAGTGAGTAAACAAAATGCCCATTCCATAATCAAAAAATTAAATAGGCATGTGTTATGAGGGGATAAATTATAACTTACAATATTATAATGGTATTTTTTCCTAATACGATTTATTATTATTAAATAAATAAATTAATTAAAAAAGTATGTTTTAATGTGCATGTCGCCATCAGCAGATTGTCAAATACCTGGGACTACCTATAAGTACTATCTATAAGTACTACCTTTTCCAGCACCTTTCAAAGTAAATTTAATTTAAATATAGTAGAGGTACTTTAATTACATAGCTACTACCTATCCTCACTAGATGCAGCTGTGCCGTATATAGATATGAAATTTTCTCTTTAAAATAACTTTTTCTGTCGACTACTAAAGTTCTGCTATTAGAAAGTAGAACACCCTGTATCAACATCTCTAACGAACTATTTTGACCATACGTTCATATAAAATATTCTTCTTAAAATAGGTATAATACAGGGTGAGTCTTCATAGTCTTCAAATAAGTGCAAATCGAGGTGCAAATATTTTTAGGGGTAGTATATTTCGACCCCAGAAACACGTCTATGAGGTTTTTTTAGAACATTTTAGAACTGCCTGATGTTCACTGCAAATTTTCCCACTGTATAATTTCTTAATCTCTGATATTACTATGGTTACGGCTTTACTGTTTGGTTACGGCACTAAAAGGGATGCAAATACACAAAAAAAAATGGTGGCTCTCAATTTTTTTTATAAAAACAAATATTTTTTTTTAATTTTCAAACTTGAATAACTCGGTTATTTTGGATTTATATGGAAAAAGGTAGAGAGAAAATATATGTTTCTTTTATCGAGGTCTACCAGCTTTAAAAATATTTGCACTTATTTAAGACTCACCCGGTATAATCGAAAAAAAAACGGCACTAGCTATTAGCTATGGCTGTGAAACGAAGATAACTCTCATTCTATATGTAAAGTTATATGAGGGATGTCATCGATGTTGATTTCCTTGCCAAATGAACGCCATTTTTTTCGATTATTTCGACTGTTATGGACCAGCTACTAAAAAATGAGCCACCCTATATAATTAATAAGTAGCGAATAATTGTAGTATTAATACCCCACCAAGCAAAAAACCTCACATTACATTCGCAACATTGCAGTCAATCTCCAGACAGTTTGCTTTGTAATGTTAATTTCTAAACGTTATGTCGTAATTGATGAAACTTTGCTACAGAAACATTGTTTTTGAATGGTGATTAAAACGTTTTTTCTGCAACATTGCAACAAAGATTCAAATGAAGGATCCGCGCATGTTAATAATAATTAATAATATAACAAATAACCATAAGATCGAAAAAATGGTGTCTAGTTGGCTTGGAAATGAATATCGATAACATTCCCTATATAATTTTGCATATAAAATGACAGCGATTTTCTTTTCATAGCCATCGCTGACGCATTTTTTTTGATCATACGGTATAAGTTAGAAGTTAGGTTAGGTTAACGCCTTTGTTTTTTTACGTTTCACCACAGATAACACATAATATGTTATCTGTGGTTTCACGTTTTATGCTTTTCCAATGAGATTTTAATGAATGTAAATGTAAATAGGTATAATTTTATTATCATGTATGTTTTAATAACAATGCTTAGCCATGAATAAGTATAACAAATTTTGTTTAGTTCGTTTTAAAGCTAAATTTTGTTTTAGGTTAGCTTTTAGCCAACTGAAAATTGAAGTAGATTAAACTAGGATACGAGTATATCAATCTAATGATAAAATCACAAATAATATTCAGTATTAATTATTCTGAATACTATTTTTAATGATGTTTTAATCATTTGAGATTTTTAAAATAAGGACATACAGGGGCCTCAAAGATTACTGTCACAAGAGGTAGGTAAGTTTCTCATTGTTTTATTTATTACAACTGATTA